ACACACACACATACACACACACACAACACACACACACACACACACACACACTACACACTACACACACACACTACACACACACTACACACACACACACACACACACACACACACACACACACACACACACACACACACACACACACACACACACACACACACACACACACACACAAGGGATTTATCTGTTTTTCACATCTTATTCTCCATCAAACTCGGCTAGGTTTCTCAGTCGGACCGCAGGAATTAAGGGTATATATTGGTGCATCGTTGGCGTAAGCTCATTGCGTTTCGCAGCGGTTGCCTTAGCATCAAGAACGCCACGCAAATTATAGATGAAAACATCAATGTTTCATGAATAGAAGCGTCGGCGATCTGGCTGCTGATAGCTGTCATAATCCTCTCAGGTATACGTCTGCTCGTCAACAATTTATTTATATTGATACAAATGAATACGCGTCCATGGACGTGAACATGCACGCACTCACGCACGCACTCACGCATGCACTCGCGCACGCACTCACGCACGCACGCACGCACGCACGCACGCATGCACGCACGCACGTAGGCACGCACGCACGCGCGTACGCGTGGCCGACTACACGGGCGCGCATGCACGCCCGTGTCGCTCAGAATTTAAACATATAATTCCACTTTAATAGATTATTTATTTTACGAAATGCATTGAGTTTTTGATATTTTTTCTCGTAACTGAATATTTAATCGCGATGAAACTTTTTATCCAGATTTCGCTCCTTAGCGACCAGGCCGTTTTAAGGACATTAACCAACGCTAATACACAGTCATCCAAGCTAACCTAGCATCTACACACTATAAATTCGCACCCCAATAACTCTGAGATTGTTTTTTATTATCAGCTAAAGAGCTTCAGCGACCGACTACCCGCATAGACTACGTCATGGAGAGCCAGTGGATGATCATTGCCTTCCTTGTGTCCGTCATGACGACGGCCGGCAGCGAACCGACTACAGATTTATATCAAGAACCACAACTTCAACGTCGAGTCGAGATTTTGGACGACATACGGCACGAGTTAAACTCGTTACTGGTGAGTGGATACTACAATGTTTAGTTACAAATGTTTAGCGGTGTATTGTTCCCTCAAGAATAATTACAATTCTGGCAACCAGGTGTCGCCGGAATAGGCTACGTGCTCGAATGACCCGCACAGCCTTAAGGCGGGTGATGATTTTCGAAGAGACTGCAACCAAATTCTGGTAGTTACGCTCCGTTCGTTTGTTTGGTCGCTACATGATCTATCTATCTATTTATTTATCTATCTATCTATCTATCTCACTATCCATTTTTCTATCTATCTATCTATCTAGCTATCGATCTATTTATCTAGCTATCTATATATCTAGCTATCTATCTATCTATCTATCTATCTAGCTATCTATCTATCTATCTATCTATCTATCTGTCTATCTATCTATTTATCTATCTATCTATCTATCTATCTATCTATCTATCTATCTATCTATCTATCTATCTATCTATCTATCTATCTATCTATCTATCTATCTATCTATCTATCTATCTATCTATTTATCTATCTATTTATCTATCTATCTATCTATTTATCTATCTATCTATCTATCAATCTATCTATCTATCTATCTATCTATCTATCTATCTATCTATTTATCTATCTATCTATTACCCTCTATAGTCTATGTAGTGCTATGGTTTTGCACACTTTGTATCAAGTCAGTGCAAGATGAATGTTATTACGACAATGACATGGCGCATGTAACATAATGCATGTATGGTAACTCAATGTTACGCGCATTGTACAGTCATGCAAGTCAGTGCAAAGTGAATCCCGTTTATCTAGGGCCGGTTTATTTACTGCTGCTGGAGGGCTGCGTTGATTTAACGCTGCTTCAGGGGCATGATTTTTTCATCATGTTTTCCTCCTGCGACGTCAGATGACCTCGGAGGTAAAATCCAATGTGCCCATGATATTCAGCATCCAAGGTTACATATAATGGCCATCCTTGAACATATCTAGAGTGGCCCATATTGAGTAGCCCAACAGAGAAACTTCCACAAATACGTATTAGATATATATATATATATATCAGGTCCCTGAAATTCAGAAAAATTAAGAAAGCGAATGAATATATTTACAGTCACAACTCGCTTAATTACTAGAATTGGGTGAGTAAGTCGTATCCTGAATCTGTTATAGAGCCGCACAAGCGTGCCACCTTACAACCCCGAAAAACAAATATTGAAGTCGGTAGCGACAGCAGTATATGCCCGTATTATGTAAACAATGCTACCGCTACGAATCTCAACGTTACGCAAAATTATCAGCCGTCTAGTTCAATAAATCCCAAGAAGTGACGCAATCAAAATAAAAAAAACTAGGCTGTTTTCTCAGTGAAACAATCGTCTTATAACGAGAACGCGGTGCTAGCTTTCACCACCTACAACTTTTTATCCGTTAATTAAGTTAAATTCATCACCCTGGTTAGTACAAGCCATTAAACCTTGTTCGCAATGTCGGCATATTTGGCTCGAAATACTATGCCATGCACACATATACAGAATGCAACCATAATATATTTATACGGTTTTTGCATAGCGTCTATACATTTCCCGTGCAACTGCTAAATAGTCATGTGTCAAAAGTGTGCTCACTACACTGCTCGGTTCACGCGAATATCTATTTGCACGCAGGGGCGTAGCCAGGATTTTCAAAGTTGTAGGCACGACTATCTGAGCGGTGCGCCATCATCGGTTGGCGCGGAGCGTACAAGAAAATTTTTGGTTTTACAAACCCCCCAGATGGCCGGAAACGGCCCTTCCCGATTGTTCATTCTGGTTCCCTGACCTCTTGCTAACTTTAGACACCTAATTCAATATCACTTTTAAACCCAGCAAGAATATGGCTAAATTAGGTGACCTAGCTATTCTTCTGTCATCTAGGCTGTCATTTCTATCGCATGCCGTTTCATTCAACACTCTACCCGCCGAAAAAGACTAGGATCCGATCTTGTCAGTTTTTTAACATTTGAACTCGTTCGTAACACTATTTTAACTCGTTTGTATTTTTTACGTTCATTTCAATAGTTATTCCTTACCTAGACTCTTAAACTCGTCCAGCAAGCTTATGGATTTGAATTATGGGTGTTTTAAAAAAAAGATAACTTGGCCAAAATAGTGTAGGCCCGGGCCTACAGTGC